TTTTTTTGTATTATGAATATTTAATATTTACTAATATTTTTTGTTTGCAGACCTATTAAATATCACTATTCTCAAGTGTATATTTTTCGTGGTTCTAGTACTCAAAAGTTTTAAATTGATAGTTAGGCATCTGAAATTTTATTTTTATTTTTTTGTCGGCAGAAGTCTGGATAAGAATATTATTATAGAAATTGTATTTTTTTAAATGTACCTTTAATCCCCGTATAACTTCATTATATAATCATTTGTAATTTGCGGGTTTAATGAAAGGTACACGAATGAATATTTTACTACTCGACATTCGTATGTGGATCCAGTTACCATAATAGGTTTTTGAATAAGTTTTAACTTAAATTGATTCCTTATTGTTAGTATGATAATTTTGAGAACCAATGATTTATAAGTGAAATACCAATGAAAAAAATGCACTTATAGCAAAGACCATTTAGTTTTTATTGTGAACTTTATATTAAACAGGGGAATTAAAAATGCATAGTTTAATGTACTGTATATGTGTCTGGGGCACACAGAAACGATAGCCCGACTTGATCCATTTAAGTAATAATAGACTCCAACTGAGAGACAAGTATATACAATCCCCTGGTGATATACTATTGTACATCAAAGGTTTTTGAGATGAATAACTAAACATTCTGACATTGCAATTGTGCAGCTATCAGATATTTGTATTTAATCATATTAGTTTTGAATCGTTTAATTATACACGAATGTACATTAAATGTTGAATGTTGATGTATTGATTCATATCAAATTCATCATATTATATATTATAATATATTTATAGTGATTTAAACATAAATGTTTAAACGAGTTGCTTAAGTTAGGTATACGTACAGTAATATTACATAGGTACTGCCTAAACTTTTTAATTAAAATTCTAAAAAGTTCAGAATCAATACGATTTTTCTATGATTCCAATGCCAGCTATAGTAATTTAAATTAACGGAAGTAGTCCAACAAACTAATTAAAACATTAATGTAAAGTGCATTTTTAAAAATTCTTATGGATAATTTTTTAAAAATAATACTAGCCATAATAAATACATTTAAATAAATACTTTATTTTTTTTATTATTATGTTTGTAAGAGTAATATAATTACATTAGTTTTAAGCGTAAGGCTTTTGAAATTTTCTATTTTATCATACAATAATAAAACATAATAATTCAAAACAGAGACTATAAAAGTCAAAATTCTCTATTTTTCCCAAAATCATACTGGACAATCGTAATATGTACATTGTACACATGTTCAATTTTAGTCAAACCATTCTAGAAATCAATTTTTGTGTGATAATATTAATAATATTTATAAAACAATAAATTTATTTTAAAACACAATTTATGAAATTTACCTACATATTAATAATAAATCATTGTTAAGTGTCGTTTCTCTATTTTATTCACTTGACATAATATTATTATCATTGAATTATAAAAAAAAAAATTTAACGAATTTATATTAAAAAGTAAGTAGGAAAAACTAAGAATGAAAAAGAAGTCAAAACAAATAACAGAAAAAAGTGGACAGTCAACAGGACTGGGTGTTTGGATGTTAAGCACTCTTCAAGACAGTTGTATTGTGTTTTTAATATAAGTTTGAAACTAATGATAATAATTACATTCAAAAAACTTTTCCTAGTGCAGCTTGGATTACTAAAGCGATTTTTAAATGTTAAGTGATCACATAAAAGATTTGTGAATAACATTTTCTGGATTTTCTTAAATATTAGAACAATTTCATTGTACATAGGTACAACATTATATTCGTAATATACAAATACAATGATAATTAATATTTCTGTTTAAAATGGAATACAAAATTTAAAATTGAACGTTTTTACAAAATAAAATATCGATATAAAGATTTATGAAACTATAATGAGTACTACAATTTATCGTGTTGTATTTTTAATACTATTATGTGCATGCACTGATGTGTAATTTCATTAACTGTTCTACATATAGACATATAGCATCGTATTATTTTAAATTCAAAAAGAAATACTATTTTAATAAATACTATTTCCACGCTTAATGAATCTATAATATTAAATATCTGTAAAATAATGTCATTAACATTGCAGTCAAGCAAAAATATAATATAAAAACGAATATGTTTTATTTTATTATTTTGCTCAATTTTAATCAAAATTAAGAAATTTCAAATTTTGCTTTCAATAAGACTATGTGTTTAATGTTTATATAAAAAAGTGCGTCCTACTGATACTCAATATTAAATAATATTACGTTTACATTGTTTTACTTAAAATCTGATAAAAAATGTTTTTTGAAACGAATTTTGGATTACAGTTTTTAAATAATATACTGTGAGAATAAAATAAGACAATTATTTTAAATATGTTATTTATGAATCAATTTACATATTCCTGTCTAATACCCTTTTTTTATCACATTTGAGTAATTGAGTTTATTCTTTTAAGAAAAATATAATTTTAAGTAATAAATCACATCTAGTTAAATACATAGGTAGATACATTTTTTATGATTAAAATGAAGCATGTCAAAAATGCTAAAAATTATGTTCGAGTAATTATTATAATGTTGATGAATGTGTATGTATTACAATGGTACCAATTATTTAATATTAAAATATAACATGGATAAATTAGTAATTTTTAGTGAACAACTATTTTGTATATTACTTATGTAGTTACTACCTAACTTGACAAACATTTACTTATTGAATACGCCATATGGATTGAACAAAAATAACATACCTATGTGTTTATAAGCAAACAAAATCGTTATTAATCGTGAGAACTCAACAATCATTATTTACCGATAGTAATAGCTCTCATGATTTTCAATCCCGGATAACGTGTACAGAACAAACTATAATCGCAATATTATTTAATTCCCTGTTTCAAAATAATGACGTAAATGACAAGGTCGCTCGATCTGTGTGTGTATTTTTTTTTTACTGTATTTAGTTACATAACCTACCTAAATCAACACAATATAATATTATAATATTATATAATAATTATAGTAATCAATCTTTTTGAGAAGCCCCGTCTCTCTACTCTTTGTCTCTTTTCCGAAGGGTTAAAACTTTAAGTCCCCGGTATACGTTCAGCGTTCATAATTTGAAATTATCGAATCCCAGCGGATATAAGTCGAGCCCCGAGGGTAGCTTCTATAGCTAATTTGACCATTCCAGTGAATTTTATTGACCGTAAACAAATTAAGGGGGAGTTTTTGTGTGCTTGCCGTTATTAACATATTAATACCATATTATCAAAGCGTGGGGAAATTAAAGAAGAAAAAAAAGTCCATCTACATAGCCACATAATATATAGGTCATTAATTGTCGATAATAAAGTGTGTGTTTCAAAATTCAGCTAACTGTAAAATATATGCTTTTTTATTATAAGTACTGCAGTGTGTTAATATTATTTTTCGTTTGTCGTATAATTTCTTATATTATTAGATAGTTTGAATTTCAGCTTTTATTAAAAATTTTACAATGGTAAGGTTATTTTCATGATTTCGACCCTGAAAAAGAGTCTGAACATTCCACGGACACTGCAGCATTCCTCTTATGCATCTTCATAATTTCAGCATTCTGTGCGAATAATAATATAATATTTAATTGTAAGATGGAGTTCACGAGTTTCACACATACCTACATAGATGCCCTTGTGTCGCTATTAACAGTTACCACGTCGTCGTGTCAATCTAGAGCATGGCCGATACTTATATACGATTTATTGTGGCTTTTTCTTTTCTATTTAATTTAGGGTCGTACCATTTTTCAATTGTCATCTCGTTTTCATCGAGGTTATAGTGCCGTTTTATTTTTCAGTGGTTTTGCCATTTTACTTTGGATGTAAGTTTAATCAAAAAATGCTTTACACTGTGAACAGATTTGTCTGTTAAACCTTGGGCTTAATATTAAATATATGAAATACTTAATATGACTATGCCCTACGAGACAACCAGCTATCAGTTACACATTTTAATATTTCACAATACTGTCTTTAAAATTAACAGTAAATAAAAACTATAAAAATACTATTAATATCTACTATTCATTAAATATCCCAAATCAACAAAGTGTCAAGTTAACTGCCAAATAGATTACAGAAAAATAATGAAATAATAGCCACAAGACTTAATTAAAGTAAATTATACAACGTAAAAAAAGCGATATATAATTTATTAGATTTAGCTAATATTATTGACTAAAAATATCTTGTTAGACATTTAAACTTAATATTATGAACAAACTACATAATAGATAATATATATTACTGTTTATTCTTTATATTAAATTAAATTATAATATGCTTTTTTATTCAGTTTCTTTTGAAAATTATAACATATGTGTAGTTGATATCCTTATTAAATACTATGACTGGTTGTTTAGTTTATTTTTCATTTTGTTTTAATATAAGGTATATTATATATGTATATTGTACCGGGTACCTATTATAGTATTAAACTATAAAGTTTTAATAAAAAATTGTTAAAACTTAAAAGTATGAAAACATACTTACATGCTAAAGTTAACTATTTATAAGCAAAAGTGTTTTTAGTTTTCTCAAGTAAATTTATATAGCTACCTACCATAAATGTTAAACTGGTTAAAGAATTTTCCTAAATGAGTTGTTTTTATAATTTAAATACCTAAATAAAAATTGCTGTATTCAAAATTTAATTTGTTTTACTATTTATTTATATTAAACATAATAAACATTCAAATATGCTTCTTTATATACTTTATATAGGTATTGTATATGACACGTTCAAATCTATCTCATAAGTTAGGTTAAGTAAATAATTTAAAGAAGTTTATGTTGTCGCAGATGTAATGAATACTTCAAAAAGTGCATTTAAAAGGAATAATAATAAAATTGTTCTAATGTAGCTTGATACAAAAACTTAAAGTCTTAAACACTGCATAATCGCATACAAGACATGTTTTCTGAGTTATTTTGTATTTCACTTAAATAATCAGTTTAAACTAAATTTGTAAATAACCATATAGCTGGTATCTATCCAGACACACTTTGAAATGCCCGGGAATTTCGAGGTGTGCGGGTGTGCCCGACCCCATTGGGTAAAGTCCAAAGTACTATTTATTGCTTTGTCCAGTCTGATATTGTGCGATTCACTGGTTATCCAGTGTTCATGTGCAAAGCAAGAACTAGTGTAGAACTCTGGACTTTGCCCAATGCGGTCGAGCACACCTCGAAATGCCGTGGGAAATTCGGGAATGGTCCAGTAACCGGACTTTTCCGGTAACATATATAAATAGTGTATACTCGGACGGTAACTAACACGTCATTATAATAAGGTTTTATCTGCCATTTCCCGTATAAGAACTACTATTACAGATGGCTAAAATAATGTGTGATTTATATTATATTATTATACCTAGGTAGGTTACCATTAATAAGTAAAATAGGACTTGTGAAAGACTCTCCGTAATTTTCAAAAGATTTTAATACAGGCAATTCTGTTATTAAAAAGTTATAACAGTGATTGAGTCAATATGATATTAACAAAAAAATACTTTTGTTTAAATAAAAAAGGGTTGATCACGTAACAATGGGTAATACCGTGTATATACGGCATTTCAAAAAGTATGATAAATAATTACATTGTAATAAATAAATTCATACATTCTTGGAAAATATGATTTCATTTTTGGATTCGATAGATATTTAATGGTCCAGAAAAATACTTTCTGGAAAATTATTGCTTTAGGATTTTTTAGATTTCCAGAATACAATGCGGTCCGGATAGATATATTCCTAAACAATACGTCCCACTGTCCCAGGCACATATGGCTTTAAGATTTTGGAAGTATATATTAAGTTTGGCTAAATACGTTAATCACTAATTTGTATTCCAGAATATTGTAATGCTTCCCCTTATTATTACCATTCCTCTCCCCCCCACACCGCAGCTATGACCACACGACACAAGATACTCGTTTAATATTTAAAAAAAAAATAAAATAATATTGGAGTTATTTGATTTCCGTGTTTATTTGTATAGGACATCGTGAGGCACCATGGCCTCGGAGGTCTGTTCCGCGGACTGGAGATGACTGTGGCCCGGGAGATGCCCAGCTACTTTTGCTTCTTCGGAGTGTACGAGGCGGTCCGGGAGGCGCTGAAACCGGCCGGTCGAACCCGTGCCGACTGCGGCCTGCTGGCCACCACAGTGGCCGGGGCCGCGGGCGGTGTGCTTCTGTGGACGGTCACATTCCCGGTGGACGTGGTCAAGTCTCGGATACAGCTGGACGACGCGATGCCCACGCGCGGCTGGACCATGTGCATGTTGCGCATGTACCGGAACGAGGGCGTGGTCGCACTGTACAGCGGCCTTGCGCCGACGCTCGTCAGGTGCGTTCCGTCGTCCGCCGTGCTGTTCCTCGTCTACGAGTACACCAAAAAGCTGTTCGACACCTAGGCCAAGAGTGCTCGAGTGCCATGGGAGAACGTCCCGGAACACACCTGCCATTGGGGATGTGGGTTATTGAACTTGTCGGGCTCTCGAACATCCCTGCAAACTTCGAGAAATTCGAAAAGTTTAAAGTTCGATTAAAATTAACTCTCGAAATCCAATGCTATTTGAACTCAAACGGTTCAAGAAAATTCAAGTTTCATATCGATACTATTATAAAATGTATAATAATACCTACCTACCTATTTTTTACGCATTAAATTGTGTACCTACCAAGAACGTTAATAATTAATATTATAACATTTTAATGATTAAAATAGTATATATTTTTTGTTTAAAATTAAAAAGGACTTGCGAATTAAATAGTCTAAATGTTGAAAGTTCAAAATTATTAGATTAGTTCGAAAAAAGTTCGAGTAAAAATGGATTTGAGTTTTAGTTTGATCTTGAAAAAAACCAAGTTGGCATTCGTTTATGAGTATACCTTTATCAGAAAAACAACATAAAAAAATTACGCCATCCTTATCCTTGTATACCCTCGTAAATACTGCATCAATATTATTTATAGTTATTATAATGCTGTAATATTATGTACCTATAATTATTTTCTTTTTTACATTTTTAGCAATCTAAGATAAAACTAACATTTATTATTATTGTGTAGGTAACTAATTTCCATATTATATCTCAGAAGTAGTCAGCTAAAGTAGGTAACTAAAGTTAATTCTTGACATTATAAAAAATGGACTGACATCTAGTTATGGGTTTTTTTTTACGACATAATATTCATGTAAATTTCTTTTATTTATCACAGTTGTATTTTTCAGAAAATGTGTGTTTTAAAAAATAGCCTATACTATTATCATATTAATGTTATCTAATTTTTAATTATAATAATATTGAAATCATATTATTACTGTTTTATACATTATAAACATATTATAAAAATGTTTGATTATAATTGTATTTTTTTTTTAGACATTTTCTAATATTCAATATACAAATAATTCGTTTACACAAATCTATCTTATAACTAGTATAACCTAAGATCACATTTTATTATAGAGTTATATTTAAAAAATATATGAAATTTAAAAATATTCATATTTGTGTATACCTACCTCTAATCAATATTTTTTTTGACTAGGAAGAAAATCGGTACAATTGGTATAGGACAGGTCTATTTTGGAAAAAACACACAGCCAGGATCGAATCCTCTTAAATGAAAAATGAATACCTACCTACAATAAAAATTATACTTTTAAAGATCTAATTTAATAGGCTTTTAATGACTTATTTAAGTCCTATTGTAAATTTGTCTATATTGTTTTTTTAGCTTGTATCCATTTTATTTTCCGTATAATGTATTCACTATACTCTAATATATTGTCCTCAATTCCAAATAGTTTATCAATTTATTTATTTCCTTCAATGCCTTCCATTTAATTCACTAGGTTCGTATTAGGTAACTCTATTTTTTTTCTTATTTCTTGTCTTAGTTAATATTATATATTATTTAATATTTATATATATACTATATAGAGATTTTAAAAGATTCCTATTTTGTTAGGATTTAGCCTTATTTTATAGGTTTCATCAATAAGAATTTTAATTTAGATAATATAAGTGAAATGGCAAGAGATAATCCGTGGAATGTGTAATATTCAATTCATATTATAAGCAATGGTTGGTAAATAGTAAATAGTAAATACTAAATGATTATTAACGAAACAAAACAAATTGTTAAATATTTTACTTATATAAGAGTACCTTTTATGCTCCTATTAAACTAATTATAATAGTTGCTTTTAAAAATTTATTTTAATACTTTATAGTAACTTGTGGTTTCGCTAACAGTCATAAAGGTAGCAAAAAGAAAATTTAAAAATAATTACCCTATATAGTATATAATACTCACTTACCTACAGTTATACTACTTACTGAAGCAAATGGTTGTAGGTACGGTTGTTAATTTCTATTGAAAAATTGGTATTCCAAATATATCAGAATACCTGCAGCGTACTAAGTAACCACAGTCCACAACTATAGGTATTATATAATATTAAATATAGAGTATAGACTATGTTTTATTAGGACTGTGATACCGGTGGCTGTGTATAATATGATCTGCAGGGATTAATAGTAAAACTGAGTTTCAACTCGTTTATAAATTATAATACATTACAAATTACAATAATTACGGTATAGTGAAATGGAATGTGTTATTATTTATTTTTATATTCGAGAGTTTTCAATAATTAATTTTTTCCAATTGTGTTCAAAATATTTCATTTGAATATTATTTATTTATTACTGGAATAACAGCGTACATCTTTTGATAACCAAAATATGTGTAAAGTTAAATCTAGTTGAACCGATCTTATTTTGATTAAATAATCTTGATATCAGTGTACTCTCATTTCTCAATCAAAATTAATGAAACAGATGGTATAAATAGGTACATTTTAAACTATTACCTAAATGAAAGATTAAGGCTGGCCAAACTAGGTATAAAAAGTCATTGGTAATTATTAGCTATAGACAATATTTTATTAAAAGAATATTTTTTTTAAAAAATTTATAAAACTCAAAGATCTGAAATCTGCTGGATATCCAGATTTTTAAATTGGTGTAACACGAAGGGGACGACTCCATTAACAAACGATTTATTAGAAATCGGACAGATCTGTGAGCTGAATAAGCTAGTATAGGTGAGTCAGGTGAGATAATTAAGACATGGTGCAACAGTTTTTTGGTGTCAATCAAGGCTCCTTCACCACATCAGACTATCACGACTGGCGTCTGGATTCCCATCGGCTATCACATCTAAAATGTGCATACCAAACGAGACCCAACTCGGCATTCATGAAGTTTGACAGGGTGTCAGTTAAAATAAATACGTCATAACTCATAAGACAACAATAAAACAACGTTTGTACGGAGATACGGTATACCTAGTTACACAACAATGTTGTGCTTAGACACTCAAATAATTATTTGAAATAGAAAAATCTGATTTTAAACTTAAACTGTGATGACATCAAATACTCAGCCTTAAAATGATAAATGTCAGAAAAAATTAATTTTAAGGTTGACTTTGAATTATAGGGACAACAAAATACACAGTTAATATTAATGGAAACCTGGATGTGGATTGCCCTAAAGTTAAGGATGAGTGTTGACTAGAACCATATCCAGGGACTCTGTTTTTTTTAATAAACTCGATCACTGATGAATAACCATTTAAATAGGTACACCACAATGGGCCACTTTTTTTTATTAGTTATGATATTATCAGCTAGGTAGATTCTTGAGTTCAGCTCGTATAAATAATAAACTAGATAGCCTAGGATAGCTAGGTAATTGTTCTTGTAGGCAATGAAGAGATTTGAAGCCAGTGGTTGCTATTTTTAAAAAGGGGAGCTAAACGCTAATGATACACAGTAGAATATCATATTATTATATATTTATATTATGCGTCTTGTTACAAATCAAAAATAATTGAACGTTTGGAACAATTGATATTTAAATTTACCAAACATATTAATAGTCGAATAATACAATACAATTACAATGTATCAATAATAAAAAACAATATAATTCAAATTATAATAACAAATCACAATACATTAGTACAATATGACCAGGTAATACTAAGTAAGTTTTAATGACAATTATTTAAATTCATGAAATAACTAGATATTTTATAATACATAATATGTCGTTGCACAAGAATAGTGACACAACTCAAAAATTGGCATTTTCGAGATTATTATATAAAAATGCATTGCAAAATACCCATATATTTATGTGCAAGAACATTTTTGATGTTTCCAAAAATCGCCGCAAGATAGTGTCGTAGTGTCGTTATTCCCTTATCGTATAATCGCTAGTTTATAAACTAAACTTTGTACTGGAGTCTGGAAAATCTACTTTTTTGAGTTATGTCACTATTCTTGTGCACCGACAAATTAATATAATATATTGTTCGTGTCCTTTTACAGGTGGTAGCTTGATTAGCCTCCGACTTCACTTTGTTATCACAGTTAGCAATTTAGTTTATTATCTGTATCATTGACAACGCATTTGAACCAGAATTTTTTACTTTTTCCGAGTATTATTGGATTTGTTTTGTTATTACGATTCTTAGTGAAAACTAATATTATTATCATAATTCATAACTAGTAATTTTTTATTTAATTGTGAATAATATTTAATGGTTCTTGAAAAAGTTTTTCCATCAACATAACATGCATATTACATGAAAAATATATACAATCTAATGTGTCCTATACCATATGATAAAAAGTAAAACCATTACAAAAATCTGGCAACACCAGTCTATATAGCTGCTACCTATATAATATATAAATATATTGTTTTTTTTTAATATTTAATGGAATATAATTTTATAATTAAGTATTGTATATATTACTTTGTATAATAATTTTTTATTATAGCTTAAAGGATAAAGTTCAAATTATATGTACATCGAAGCTACATAAATGTATGCGAGTATATTATACAGGCACCTTAAAATGTAATTGTTTGTGTTGGTTGACGTAGTTGATTACACGAAGAAGTAGAAACCTACCTATAATAGGGATTTTGTTAATACTCTACGACGTACACATGTCACCTACACGGCCACACAGACCACAGGGTATTAATTCATCTTGTTTTACTCAACTTTTTTTCTAATTAATATTTCCAAACAATCACTATTTACTACCTAATGGCTAATATAGATATTTATAATTGTATTAGAGTATTGAAGTGCAGTGGCGTGGCGTGGGTATTAAAAGGATGTAAGCAGTGAAAATTTTGTTTCAAAAGTGATTAGAATATAGGTAGGTACTATAAATAAATACCTAATTATAAATTATGTATAAAAAATGTTATCCTTTTAAAATGTTTAATATTTTTAAAAATATACTAGTTGTACAAATCAAATTCGAGAAAATAAAGAAATTGAAGTATAAATACTTCAAAATTCTATTAGGCGA